TACACACGCATTCCTGTAATATTATATATAAAATAATCACATGATGTATTTATATTATACAAATGTACATGTATGTTTTGTAATACTACTTGTATATATAGATATATATATTATCTATTTAACCAAATTTATTACACGGAACGGTCTTCAGTATGTAGGTTACAAGGACGTCAGCGCTTGTCCTAGGTTCTTTTATGGTCTTTGTCTTTAGCCCAAGGCAACTCAAGACCTCGTTACGGTACTCAAGATTTACATTTATATAGGTCCTTGTATAAAATTGTTACATTTACGCATGTTCTTTTGTTTTCCTGGCTCGTCATGCCCACGGGCCAACAACTAGTAAAATTAATGTTTTCAGCTGTTGCCGTGCGAAGTGTCATTGTTTTCGGAGTTTTGTTTGTGTGCGTGTGTGTGCGGGGGGTGGTTGCGTATCCGTTGGTGTGTGTGTGTGTGTGTGTGTGTGTGTGTGTGTGTGTGTGTGTGTGTGTGATGTTCAGTTGATCTGTTTGTTACCCTGAATACGCCGATAGGAACTTTTTTGGTTTTTATCCGTCTGTAATTCAATCCCTCTGCGACCTTGGGTTTTTTTTTCCAAGCCGGATGTATTATGACCGCTAAGCTGACTGCGTTAAGGCTTTCTGTTTTTTCTGCATAATTATAGACTACGGTACTTCGATCAAGGGTATTCTGTTAGTAACACTGTGTTACTTCAGACGGTCTCATACTTTGACTGCGGTGTGCGGGCTTTGTTATTGTAGGGTGCTGGTCTCTTACTTCGTTTGCGGTCCGCTGGTGATTGGAGATCTGTTTCTTTTCTTTCCCTCTATTGGTTCTTTCCGACATGCTCTTTTTTCCTGCACTTTATATCACCGTTGTTGTGTCGATTTACTTCTTTCTACTCAAACTCAGAACAGATTGCGGTGCAGGTGGCCATGTTTGATGTTTCATTCAAATCTTCCTCATGGGTGGTTGGCGAATGCTCTGGTGCGGCTTGCTCCTACTTATTTCCTATCGAACGTCTGTCATCCTTATCTCTTCAACGTCTTTTTGTGTTTTTGTTATTCTTTTGTAACTCCTGTAATTCTAATCTTCGGCACTTATATGACCTAATTGTGTTACAAATGCCGTAAAACGCGAACTAAAACCAAACAAATTTCGCTCGGTGTGACCTTCTTGAACTTGGGTTGTTGTATGGCTGTTTTCTGGACTTTGCAGCCTCTTTGCTCGGTCCTATAGGGAATAAAACAACCTGGAGGGGCTTCGGCCGTTAGATCAGCTGGTATCATTGATCATGCTGGACCACAGAGTTGACGGTTTGGGTCGAATCCTTGGAAGTTGTTCTTGATGAAGTCAGGACGTATTGAGGATATTTCAGGGTTCT